TTGTAGTGAATGTATGTGTTCTACAGGAGTTAACCTGGAGAATTATTCTCCCTAAGCTCAATGTTTTAATGGTATAGATTTTCCCCATGCAATCAAGAGTTTACCCGCACGATCGCCCAATCAAATAGCTCTGACATGATATTAATGGCAACGCCCCAACCTGAGTGTTTAAAATCCATTGGCTAATTATGATGGTTGAAGTTTCTATGGCAACCATGTTTTCAGTGATACGTTTTCAATCTATGAAGAAATATTTGTTTCGAGTACGTTTTTCTTCATTTTGGTAAGAAAAACAACAATGTTAATCGCATTTCAGGATTTGATGGTATCGGATTTATAGCGTTATGTGACACCACAACCCTTAAAAAAACCATGTTAGATCAATCGCGCTCGCGCTCAGTAAGGAAATGCTATATCAACCCGGAAATGTACCAGATTGCATCTCAGAGTGCTAAAATTTTCAAAATATTCCGGGAGAGAATAGCCCCGATTCCCCTACCAGGGCGCTCAATTTGACTTCTGCTGCATTTAAAAGGGAAAACCCTCACACCTACTATGTAGGAAAAACTTTTTTATTCCTAACTGTCTGTTTAATAGGGTGTCCGCTTAATAGGAGTTTGTAAAAATTGCCCAATGTTCGTTAACGATTAACATTCAACGGTTAATCTGGAGTGCAATAAAATTCCATGTGGTTGAGGAAGCTAAGGAAGCTGTGCTGTACTTTGTACAAGACTGTTAGGTGAACTTTTGACTTGATTTATCTTTATTAATCGACTACAGGACGTATTTCAAGGATGTAATCCAATGCTACTATTGTCAATTCAGTCGGGTGTCCGCTTAATAGAGCTTTTTAACAATATAAATTAGCTAGCTAAATACAATTTATTTTAGACTCCGCGTCCGCTTAATAGAGGTGTCCGCTGAATAGGGGTTCGTTATAAAGGAAAATGTGAGACGTTAATTTCGGGACCTGGCTTAGTGTCCACTTAATAGACGGTGTTTGCTTAATTGGGGGTCCGCTTACTGCGCTTAATAGAGGTTTCACTGTATTAGTTTGAGGCTAAAACTTGGATGAGGTCTCTTTTTGAAATTAAATCTAAACAAAGGCCATGTGGGACATTAGGGAGGAAACCAAATAATTCCTATTATTTACAATCTGGAGCCCTTTTTTCGGAAAGAAGTAGGCTGTTTATCCTCTTCGTTTAGGGCCGGGTGGCAGGAATTTTTATAAGGGTGGGAAGCGGCGGAAATAGAGGGACATCACGCAACAATGCGTGAACAAAGCTTAATATTTTGCATCCGAGCTGAAGGGAGGACCCCCGGGGGGTACTCCCTTATATTTGTGCTGCCCCATCGGATAGGGTTTTTGCGCCGTTTTGGTCTGAAAACGGGTATACACTTTGCCCATTTTGGTCTGGTATCGGGTGTGGTTTTTGAGGGAACTACAGTAGCGTATGGACGTATTTATCGCTTCAATTCCAAATGAGTAAGAAAGAAAGAGAAATATGCGAATTCGAAATGGATTGAATATTTTTTGTTTGCGCTCTAATCTAAGTAATGATAACATAATTTCTGCCCAAAGGCCAGGTCTGAAAACGGGTGTGGAAAATTACACTTTTTGGGGTCTGAACTGGTTAGGATTTGAAGAACCGGGCGGCACATCCCCACCAATGATTCCCAGGAGTACCCCCCCCGGGGGACCCCCTTCCCCCTCCAAACTCTAACTTTGCATTTGTGGACCAAATCCTAGGGTATTACCATTCAAATGAAACCTCACTGGCAGACCTTTTGCATGGTGTGCTATTTATTTTCTGGAATTTTACGACAAGAAATTTGGATTTTTTTGCATTCTAATCAGGCAACTGAGAATTAAAGGTTCAATACTGAAACGCACGTAAGTCTTGTAACAAAATACAGTGGCAAAGAAATAGCCGATAACAGGTTTTCTAGTAATCTCTGACAGTTAAGCTGACCCTATTCGGGGGATTTCAAAGCCGTTGCAATATTTCTAGAAAGTTATGGTCGACCCGGCCGTGAAATTATTACCGAAATTAGCCATGCTTGCCAAAGATGAAACTTTTCTTGATATTGTTTGAGACGGTTCGGCCAAGGTGGCAGCGCATACGTGTTGCTCGTGTTTTGAAAACTGTTTTAAACAACCAAAATAGGCTCCACTTTCACGTGCACGGGTGCCTGAATTGTAATCAACCCTGACATGCAAAGCTACCACAGAACTGCTAAGTTTATCATCTGGCAGGCAGGGCAATACGTTCTTAGACCAGAAATACAGACGTCACGTTACAGTTGAAGTGAGTCTTGGCAACGCAATTAACTCACAAAATCCCAGGGGGAGAGTATTTGGGTTAATTTTTGCTGGGTATGTGCCGCTGGCCTCCCAGAGCCCCTACCCAATTATAGTCTATTTCATTCTGTGGCCAATTATAGGCCCCATATTAGTCACTTTTGGGAAAATGTATAATTTTAGTGATCAATGACTACTCCTGAAGTCTGAACTCCTGTGATTTTTAGTGATCCCAACTTAGTCACTTTCTATTTTTATAAACTCACCCATTTTTTAGATTGAATGAAGAACACTTTACTTTCCATCTGCAGTACAAACATTCTGGTACGTTTGCAAACCGCAAATATGAAGAACTGTCTTACCACAAAAAATCCGAAAATGTGCGACCCCATTATAGTCATTCCAGTCGTGAAAATGCGACCCCATCCAGTGGTACATCCCCATGAGCCTCTGATAAGGAAGTAACCTCCCGGGACAAAAACAAATAACCGCCTCTATTAACATTACACTGTAATGGGCTGTCAAGACTTTCAGCTTTTGAGTATACAAGGCACTCTCGTTTACCATCAACTCAAGGCAAACAGGAAGCCCAACTAGAGACTTCAACAGAGACCAGACGCCCTTTCCGTCTATTGGAAGGAGCCGGAAAACGGCGTCTGCTCTCACAAATCAATTGATCCTCCCCAAAATCCAGCCTCCGTGGGCGGCTGTCTAATGGTCCCAATACCAATTAATAGCACTGAAGCACACGTACAACTCCGCGGTATGCAAGTACCTTACGCATGCGCACAACCATATCACCCCGGTAGTGGCAGCCATGGACAGCTGTTTCGTCCTCATTAGGACTCATCACAGGGCGTGTGCAACCGATGGTTATTTTATGGTAAATTTACTGGACTTATCGTTTGCTTCACCTATAGCGATATATCGCTAATTAGTAAAATCCAACTAGTGGTCTATTATCAATGCTGCGTTCCGGTGGTTGAGCTACTACTAGGCTATATGTTGTAGCCTACTAGTAGCGAAAAGTGCCGGCTTTGAAAACCAAAACAATGGCGGCTGAATCGCGTTTTGCTAGCTAAAGTTGTTTTGTCTCGATATTTTTGACCAACTAGTTGGATTTTACTAAAACAATTATTCCTCTCGCCCTCATGGCCTCTGAGTCAATAGCCCATTCGGCCTTCAGCCTCACTCAGAGCCCAATCGGGCTCGAGGAATAATTGTTAAGTATTTCTATAAATCAATATTAAATAAACTTTCAATTACCTTACCTGGGGTATATTCTCGTCCTTTTGCCTCAAAAGAGGTTTCTTGAGCGATTTTGAAGGAAAAATCGCTCAAAAAACCGCTTTGGAGACAAAAGGACGACGATATACCACAGGTAAGGTAATTCAACGATGATTTAGTATTGATTTATAGGCATACTTTGCAATATATCGCTATAGGTGAAGCATAAGGTAAATCCAGTACGTTTACTATAAAGTAACAATCGGTTACATTGTGTGGGCGCCCTGTGGACTCATCAGCATGGCATAGCCCCAGGCGAGAGGTCTCACTTGCCGGCTGTGTGTAATTTGTAGTTAATTTTGGGATTCAGAGTTAATAAAGTGAATCGTAACCAGCTTCACAGCTTCATACGATCGTCCAAACAAAACAGTGAAATGCAAATCATCTTCTTTCACATACAGTTCAGTGTATGTTGGACTACTAGTAAAACTATTTAGCGTGAGCACAAATTAGGAAGTCAAACAACAGCTACTCGGTCGGTGATTGAAAATAAACATACCGAAATAATCAATAACGACATAGAAAATGAAAACATCGATCGGTAAGTCAAATCTAATTGAATACGATAGTTATGACGACTGGCAGAGTCAGTCTTCGCTTTCTTTATCCAATGTTTTGTTTCTCCTTTTGGTGTGGGCAGTAGCATTCGAAAAAACTTCGAGAAAAAAGAAAATAACATCGCGTCACGTATAGAACAAACCAAGGTTGCTAATACTGGGGTCAAATGTAGCCATCGTGTTGGAACGAAAACCAAGCTGACAACGAATTGTGCTTAGCAATGCTTCAAACAATGGACTGTTAAAGAGATACTTGAAGCTTTTGCAATACTGCAATAAAAGTCATGTGAATAATGCTATTATTTACTTATTTTCTTGTGTCCGACATGTTTACATCACGTCTGAAAAGCTCAAAGCTATTTGATTGGTCAACAGAGCTATCGGTTGCGTCACTGGTATTCGCGTTGACAGCGGTAACCAATCATATGACGTATTTTTTACATCAGTGATCACGTACATTAGGAAACATAGTAAACAGACCAATTGGAACCATCACGTATTCTCGAACTATATCAGCAGAGTCAAGACGCGAGTTCTGCAGTAAGGCTTTAAGCAGTTTGCTACTTGCCTTTTTCAGCTGCGAATTTTAACTCCGAGTTTGTTCGTCTACAAAGCGGACTTTGTTTCGAGCCTGTAAGTATACTGCACGTCTTTGACGGACTGTTTCCGGAGACCGATTTCTTTCTTCAGAGGTTGAATAGTCTTTCCTTTTCATTTGCAGAACCGGGAACGAAGGTAATCAAGTTTTGACACACGAACAGGACACAATATGAAGGTACTGACATTAGTTCAATACCCCTAGAAGCTCAGGGGTTTTTATAAGAAAGAATCAAGTACTTTTCGTGAAGGACCCTATCCTATCTCTTTTTTCATGCTTTTTGGGAGTGTCCAGATATCACTTCAGTACGTCAGGCATAGAACATTACATTAAGGTTGAATTTTCTTGGGAACTGATGGCACAGCAAACCAAATTTGAAGATCAAGATGATCACTAAAACACATTTTTACGCTTTTTTTTACGCGCTAAAGCGAACGCCGTGAGTTAGGGATTGTGAAAATTTCAAACGTTCGGTTAAAAACATAAAGCGCGAAATAGAGGAGATGCAAATAAACTGAAAATCCACTGGTCTTGGTATCTGATATAAACGTCAGAGACGTCCAATAAAAATTCCAACCTAGATCACGTCCAAGTATATCCTGTATACCTTAAAACCCTAGTACAAAATTTTGAAAAGGGCAAAGGAACACAAACGAACCCTCTAACCCTTTCCCGTAGACAATGTTATGGTCTTATTTGTCGCCCTAAATTTTAAATCTGTGAACGAAATCCTGTGGTGCTACCATTTAAATGAAACCTCTTTAGCATTAATTTAGCACAGTACTATTCATTTCGCAGGATTTTACAAAGAGGAATTCAGAATTGTTGGGGATTTTTTTCACTGGCCATTATTAGTAGAAAAAGGGTTAACCGCATGTATAAATTTTCTAGGCCCCTATGACATCTAATGCTCAGAAGGTAAAGATACGCTCGTACCAGAAGTCAGATAAAGAAGTCTGCCAAGACCTATTCACTCAAGGAATGGAACAACTCATCAGCCTTGTTACGCGGGTAGTCTTTCCAAGATACTGTTGGATTCTTGCCGTCTTGTCTGTGTTTGCTATCCTTGCAGCCATTAAATGGAACTTGTGGATATTCGTTGTCTACATTTTTGCTTGCGTGGTCCTTCTTGCTCTATTGTATGTCGACATCTACTTTGAGTGCTGGAAATTCATCAATTCCTGTCTGGCTTCGGACTTGAAGGACATTGACAAGACTTACATGTCTACTGATGAGTGTCACATGTGGGTGGCAGAGTGGGGTGGAAATGTTGTTGGAATGGTGGGACTCGTTCATAATGAGAGTCACAAACCAGGAGTCGCTGAACTGCAGAGAATGTCTGTATCGCCTGTCTGTAGACGAATGGGAATTGCCAGGAAACTGCTCGATGAACTGCTCCAACATGCCAAGAAACAGGGCTTTGAGAAAATTGTCCTGACTACAACCAGTGCACAAACACCTGCAATTCGACTTTACAAAAAGTATGGCTTTAAACTCATGGCTGTCTTTCCATATCCTCAAAAACTTCTTGCAGATTTACAATACAGTTGCTTTGACCTTCAACTGAAGATCTAAACCGTATTCCGTGCTCACTAGGACTATATCCACGTCAAGAGCACGTTGTAGCTGCGTTTTAGAACTTACGTAGTCAGTAAATGCTGCAGAACGAACAATCGCAAGACCAACACCATGCCATGCCATCGCTCCTCGGTCAATTGCTTGCAGGGACAAGTAAGGGAAACGGATTTGTCGAAAATAGAAATCAGTGGAAGATTTCGTTAAAATAGCTAAACAACAGACATTTTGTTAAACGTATAACACATAGATCAATGAATGTATCTCTACAAACACTTCAGACTGACAAGAACATGTTTTACTTTGTCACGTTACTTTGTTTTGTACGATCGACTTCAATGATTGAAAAAATACGAAAATTTAAGCTCAAAAGTATTTTCCCCCCCTTTTTTTTAGGAGATCCCCACTCTAAACATTGAAACCCGGATGTGTCGAAATAAAAACCTGATAAATCTATTTGCCACGGAAAGGAAAACGTATTTGTGAAGTCTGATAGCCTTTGACCTCGGTTTACCCAAGACAAGAAAGAAATATCTCCACGTAATACTAATCTGATCAGAAAGATAGCTTTGTCCAAGCAAGACTATTGACAAGGACGCACGAACAAGGGAGAGAAACCAATCGGGTCATTGCAGTGGGCTGATTTCCTCTCCTTTGATTCGTTTAATAGAGTAAAAATCTCTTCTCTCTAAGGGCTTGATGTTAAAAACCAAAAGAAAAAGAAAAGGCATCGTCAGTGCTAAAAATACACGTGTAATTTCACTTCCCAGCAATAAGTCTTGTCGCGACCAGTGACCTCTTGGCTGGAACATCGGCGAGACGGCGCGAGAACCGGAAAGCAAATCACCTCGGGCCAATGATGATTTCTGCGCGCCGTCACGTCCACATTGCACAACACGTTCTCCCTAATTAAAATAGCATCGCTGGAGAAATTATTTAAATAGAGGGTCATACGTAAGGCGCGGAGCTAGAAACAGAACACGACGAACTTAGGTCGCAAGTGGTACTGAAACAAGTTTTATTAACCACTCACTCACAACTACACTGAAACCTCTCTTTCGAGAGTAAGGATCAAAAACGATAGTATACTACACTTTACTCACTCACCCCTACTAACCCCTTTGGAGTTACATCATTTAGTGAAGGCTAGTAGAGGCAAGCAGGTGGGAATGTTTATACATTTTTTCTCATCACTGATTATGAAGAAATTTAGCAAACGTGTAGAAAAAACAAAGGTAACAAGAAAAGACGAACATTTTTTAAGAAAAAAAAAAATCAATAATGGTGTCTACGTCAAATACGAATAACTATTGTCCTGATGGTGAAACTGAGAAATATGAGATTGTGTATTTTTATAGTTATGCTCCAATTACCTGAAGAGGATCCCCAGAACTCTCCAGAGAGCTTGGTCGCAGGCTACAATCTTGGACAGAATAAAATGGAACAGGAAATTCGCATACCCCCGAATCAAGGATGAAGCCGCGCGAAGTGCAAAACAGGCTATTTTGCCATCTATCTTTGATTTTGGGTGAGCGATAGCCTGTTTACAGACCCTCTATTTTCTCTTCAAAGTCCGTCGAGCGCTAGTCTCCCTCACACTAGTCGAACGCAGGTGATAAAATATAAACTGCAGGGCCGGATTTATCGACCGCCAGCACAAGGGAGCTCGCCGATGAAAAGAAGGAAAAGAAAAATAAAACAACGTCTGTGTACAGGCTAGGGGAGAAGGGGGGAGAAGGGGGGGAAGTGTCTATTTTTCCATTTCCTTTTTTAAATTTATTATTATTTTGATCTGGTGTTGTATTTATGAACTTAATTTAAAAGAGGAAGTATATCAGAGATACTTTGTGGTGTGATCTTGTCTGAGGCATCAATCATTACTAATTTAGAAAACAGTTTTACGTATACATAATAATAGCATAGATGTTGGCATTTTAATGGAGGGAATGAAGTGTGAATAGCACGTGCTCGGAATTGTACTTGACGAGGAATCACCTGATTTTGGGATGTTTCTGTGCCCTACACTAGGTAGACCGCTTGCAGTCCGCCTTTTCTCTTAAAATCAGTCTGGTTATTATCTTCATCTTGCGCAATTGCAAACCACGACGTTATTGCTAGGGATTGAGACCAGACGAGAAAAGACGTCTTTTCTTCTCGGGCTTACGTCCTCGTTTCTCGCGGCTAGCGTGCTTAGGTTTCACGTACAAAAAAAGAAAAATAAGAGACTGCTCGCAGTCTATACACTGGGGCCCTGATCAGATATAAAAGAGGAGATAGGCCTTAACTATATGGTGTCCATTAAACCTTTTATTTTTATCTACCTACTTTCTATGAGCGAAAGAGAGCAGAGCAAGAGTGTAAATGAAGTAATGTCTTCTTTAGATGGTACGTCAGGGGTACGGCTCCAGCGGTCATTCCGTGGAGCGGAGGGAACCGTCATGTCATGTCTGTGTACAACACACTCCCAAGCCCTTTCTCCCGGGCATTTGATTCGTTATATGAACGGGACAGATGGCATTTTGACTTCTTAAAAAATGAAAGAAAAACAGAAAAGGACAAGGAACGGGCAGACCCGTCAGAATGTTGCGGCAACAAAAAACCACTGGGCCCGATCGAGTTCCCTTTGAAACGGCAACATTCTCTTTCCAAAAAGTTACATGCCATGTTATGCTCATAGAAATACAACACGTCTGTCCCAGCTAGTGTGCGCACCTAAACCTTAATACCAAAATTCAAATTCTCTTATGACCTCTTATGCTGTACCTATACGTTTTAAATAAAAGTAGTGGGGAGAATTTGTTTCAGTTAGATTTGTCTGTGATCATATCCTCAATTCTCATGATCACTCTGTTTTATAAAGCATTGATATAACATGAAGAAAGTTCAAGCCGATCTATAAAGGCCTTTAAAAAGGGTTAAACCTTCCTTCCTACTTACTTTAATACATTCACGACTCACCCTGTCAAAACAAGACAAATATTTTATTCCATATGAAAAATAAATAAGTACGGGAAGCCTAACATAAAATAATCCCTCTTAGCTTTATATAAATATCCGGTCCTTACGGAAATTTAAAGGTAAGGATGTCAATGAAAACATTTAGGCTACCGTAGTACATGTTGTCTACAATATGAAGCAGTTCCAGTGATTTTGGTGAGATCTGTAGCCTCCAGCTTTTGAAAAAGCGCAAAAGCTTGATTTGTCGTTCTAAATAGGTTAAGCCGTTTTAGAGTGTTCCACACTGATAGGGTGGTGCTTAAGAGTGCGTCGCTTAAGTTCTCTTTGAGGGTGACTCCCTTTATTTGACCGTGCGTATTGATATATCATCTTGGCATGATGCAAAACTGGTGTCCTTTTTCAATGTTCTGATTCAGTTATATCAGCAGTTTAAAGTTATTGGCCACTGAGAAATTCTGCACTCATCTCGGAAGTTCAATTTCAGAATAAGCTTTCCACAGCATTGGATTGGTTCAGTGTTGTCAATGGTGACAGTCCTTTAAAAACAGTTCCAGTCGCTACGTATTCTTGATTTGTTGTGCTCAGTGACTTGTCTTTTCCTGTTTTGAATTAATACACGTTCCAGTCATTTTGTGCAGTTCTAATAAGCTTCGCAGACCAAGATAACACCAAGATACATCCAAATATCGCAGTAACAATACTGTACTCCAGTACAACTTCACAAGCGGAATAGAGCCTGATTACTTGGGACGTTTCCATACGTTTCGATTCGATCCAAGCCAATGGAAGTATGTGGATTCAGGAAGAGTATTTGGCCACTGTAACCAGATCACAAGCAACTGACAATGATATAAACTACCGTATTTCAAAAACGGAAGATATATTTATATAGCGCCGGGTAGGTGTGTTTATTTGTGTTGGCGTGAAGTAGAAACTGATCACGTACCTCCGATGACGCACGCCAGGGGAATTTATAAAATACTATCGTTCTCTGTCGGTCGTTACCTTTTTTTTTAGAAAGGTTAAAAGATCAAACTCAAGACGGCTTTGCAAAATTTTCCTCAAATTCTCGGCTCATTTTTAATCGCTTTACTTAGAATCTAAAATGGGGAATTTCAGGAGGACAAGACGCGGATACGCCGCTTTAAAAATTAAGCAACTTTGTATTTACTTGATGTCATATGTCACACAACACATGGATGCTTCTAGAAGAGTCCAGAGGATTCACATCAACTTAAGCACAGAAGCAGGCAATAGTCACATCCTTCTAGAAAAATGCTATGAGCGAAAAGGAAAGTTGCAATAGACGCAATGAGCCACATACATTGATATGATTTGATCCACGAGTTGCCGGTCTTAAGTTTCTTTCTAGAGGAAAGATAAGATGGGGGGGAGGGGGCGGTAAAAGGAGACTTAGCATTTTGATTGGTTTGGATGACTGAGTTGCCCGGCTCAGTTACAACACAAAAGAGGCAATTACTCAATTACTTAAGAGTTGCTCACGCTACTTTAAGTTTCTCCTTGCTGTTACATTTATCGCTAATTATTGTTCAATAGCGATACTGCAGTTATCTTGCTCTCAACAGCGACGGACTACGCCGCCCGCTCTAGCGCTAGATTGAAAAGGAAGAAGGATAAAGAACAGGATGTGTTTTCATTAGTTGAGATGATTATGGTCCCCAGCTACATTCCTCTGGAGATCAAAAAGGATTTTGAAAATAGCAGTCCAGAAAATTGTGAAACAAGCCCCTCACAGCTTTAACCCTTGTATAGTGGTTGTTGACCCACGCTAATTTTAAACTCTATAAACAATTTCCATTGGCTGATCTTTTCCTGCCTCCAGAGTGCGTCATGGGAATGGGGTGGAAGATCTCTCACTAAAATTAGTTACGACCACGTAGTCGAAAACGTCAAACTAGCCGCGAAATCCAAGGTCCATAAAGGGGGTACAAAGTCTGAACATGCAAGAGGAAAACTCAGAAATAAATATGTTTGCAAGTTGCTCCCTTGTACTATATTGTGGCTAAAATACTAAATACATTCCTCTGTACCACTAGCTTAGTGATATGAACGAAATGTGATAGGGTTCTTGAGTCTTGACCTCAAAGAGTAAAGCACTTCCCATTTCCTTAGAATAGACTAATGGCCGTTTGGATATAAAGTAGAACCGGCAGAACCGGTAAAAGAATACAACAAAAACTTTGCAAGATTCTCTCGGAATTTATTTAGTGTTCCGGCGTAATGAAATTTTGCCGAATTTTTAAAGTCAACTTCATAACTGGTATTGCTAGCAGTCTAGCATGATTATCGATAGCCTCGTTTCCAAGGGACATGTCCTGGGAACGAGGTTGGACTGATGCTAGGGCAAGCATGAAGATGAGGGAGAGAGGGCGAGACGAAAGGTCTCTCTCCAGTTCCCCTCTCGGCTCGTTCGCTGTCTCCAAGTCTTCGATTCGGGTGACTGAATAGGAATTGGTTACTCCTCTCAGTTACTTACTTGAAAACAAAACAAACAAGCGATACACCTATCTCCATCGTAGCGTTCTATCAAGCCCGCAAAGCGTATCTCATTGGAGCTACATACTGAAGTGAACTAAGTGTTTTGGTTATTTTTTTTTTCCTTTGCCGTCAAATCCTCAAGGCAACCGGTTTCGCCTTCATGATTTAACTTGAAAATTGACTCCTAAGAAAAAGTCGTATAGAGAAGGCATCTAATTTACGTCTGAATTCACTTATCACAAAATTGAAATATTGCGCAGAGGGTCTGCTAGACTGCGAGCAGGCTCACTTGTGCGAGTTCGGGGAAAATTTTGGCGGCGCACTAGCTTGTTCTAGGCGTTCAGATAGTAGAGTACGGCGGTAAATAGGTTTTACTTCTAGTCCCCCCCTCGTTTTTTTTTCTTCGTGAATTTTTCTCCCGCGCTCTGTTATCTGAACGCCTGGAACAAGGCTAGCGGCGCAAAGGTGAACATGCTCGCAGGCTAAGGTTCTGCGAGGGATCTCAATCCTTATTAACTAATAATTATCAATTTCGAGATTTCTAGCAGTCAGAAGTGTAGAGAGTAAGCATTGAACTTGGTTAGTTAAAAATCAGTTAAACTTTCAACCCATTTCTCAGCTGTTAATTAACCCTTAAGTTCCAATATCCATCCACATACAAATTTTCCAGATTTGCATAAAGAATTGGTGAAGAGAATTTGATAAAGATCAAAGCATTTCCCCTAAGTGATCATTTTATTACTTCTCACAACCTTTTTTCTTGTTATGGATTAATATTGTTAGGAGAAAATAGATGTTGGTCACTCTTGGGGCGTAAAAGGGTCTACTAGCTAAGAACGCCTGAGATGGGGGTCAAAATTTTGACCTGTATTCAGTTATAGGTTAAACTCAATCAACAGCCTCTTGAAATTTTGTAGATTTTCGTAAGCATGCGTGGGCCGTGGGATGCATAGTGCTAGAGGTGTTAAGATAACAAAATGTCATCTAATCAGAACACAGCAATCAAAGCATACCTCATTGGGCGAAAATGAACGTGGACTGATGTAGGACGAACTTCTCAGGGACCGAGTGAAAGAATTTCAAAATTCACGAAATTCACGAAATAAGACGTCAGAAAGTTCGGAGAACATTGCGGAAAAAATGACATTAGAGAAACATCTGTAAGAGAGCAAAAAGCTTTGGGGTCAAAGAGTACGTTCGCATCACAAAAACGACAAT